GAGAAACTGAGAACAAAGATAACGCGAGCGGTACGCGAGCATCAAGTGACACAGGTGACTACGCCTCACACAAATGCCACGTTAGATTTAATTACCCTGTCGATGCGAGAGACAAAAAAGAGAAAAACAAGCTTCCTCCTAGATACAGGCGCCACCCTGACATTAATAAAAGTAGGTATAAAAATCTAGGGAAACATACTAATGCGCGAGGAGCTCTGACCGGAGTTACGGCCACAAGATACACATACTCGGAAAGATAAGAGCAACGATAACGCTAGGAGAGATACGACATACTATGTATGTGGTGAGAGATGACTTCCCAATAAATTATGAGGGAATATTGGGACTAGATTTTTTTAAATAAGCAGCAAGCAAAATGCGACCATGGAAAAAAAACAAGTCCGTATTGACAACGCAACCTTCAAACCCTCTATCCATACAAGAAAACCATATTAACGTCTCGCAGCAAAACCATAATCCAAGCAGTAACCGATCGAAATAGTATTGGAATAGTAAACGCAGTCGAAACTAAACCCGGAGTTTTCATAGGAAATTGTTTGGTCGTACCAGAAGAAAACGTGTGCCCAATAAGTGTAATAAATATCACGAGAGAATCCGTAAAGATAACAACGCTTCTCGTCACGGTGGACGAGATAAAGACAAGAGACGCCGCACACATAGATACCATTGAGGCATTAAGTAACTACGCGAGCGTCGAACCTATTCAGGCTCGCAAAGAAAAATTGCACAGCAAATGTGAATCGAGCATTTAAATGACGAAGAAAAGAAGGCGTTACACCAGATTTGCGAAGATTTCTGTGATATCTTCCACCTAGAAAACGACTACTTATTGCACATTAACTCTGTAGCACACGAAATTAATACACGAACAGATAGCGCGCCGATGAATGTCCAACCGTATAAATTGCCGGAGAAGTACAAGGCAGAAGTATTAGGTGTACAAAAAAGTTCTGAGCTTTAGATTTCATACAACTAAAATAACAATTTAAATTTTATATATCTTTCCACCCTTTTGCGGTTTTAAAGCATTGACATTTGGCCTTCTAAAGAGCACATTCGATTTTCCATCCACTTCGCGTTTCATCTGAAGAAAAATGCTGCTGAAGCCACTGCAATGATTTGTGCTGCATATGAAGAGAACGCTGTCATACTACATGTAAAAGATGGTATCAAAAATTTCGCTAAGGAGATTTCAGTCTTGAAGATGAACCGCGTGCTGGACGCCCTCAAAAGATTGAGACGGACGACTTGCAAGCATTACTGAATATAAACTCTGCGCAAACTGAAAAGGAGCTTGCAGAACAGCTTGGCGTTACGCAGCAAACCATTTCCGTACGTTTACATACGATGGGAAAGGTTTAGAAGGAAGGCAGATGGATTCCGCATGAATTGTCCGAAGACAACAAAAATCGTCGGCGTGACACTGCACTCATTTTGCTTTCAAAGTCTCGGAAAAAAGATTTTCTGCATAAAATCATTACAGGCAATGAAAAATGGATTCTTTATGATAACCCTAAACGCAGAAAATCATGGGTTGACCCTGGTCAACCTTCGACATCGACGCCAAAACCCAATATCCACGCCAAGAAGGTTTTGCTCTGTATCTGGTGGGATTGGAAAGGTGTGTTGTATTACGAGTTGTTACAACCGGGTGAAACAATCACGGCAGACCGCTACCAACAACAATTGACCAATTTGAGCGCATTAGAAGAAAATTTACTGGCCAAGGGCGTCGTAAAGTGATCTTGCTTCATGACAATGTTTGACTACATGTTGCGAAGACCATATCTTTGCGTTAGGCTGGGAACTTCTCCCGCACGCGGCGTGCCCAGACATGACGCCTTCCGATTACTACCTATTCTGGTCGCTGCAGCATCATTTGGCTGATACACATTTCATGAGATTTGAAGAGATACGAAAATGCATTGATGACTTTATCGCTTCGAAGTCGATGAGCTTCTATCGTCAAGGAATTCGCAAGCTACCCGAAAGATGGCAAAAGATTGTTGATGCAAACGGGGAATATTTCTCTGATTAATATTTTTTTGTTTGTTTTTGAATAAAGATTGAATTTTACAAAAAAAAGCTCAGAACTTTTTTGTACACCTAATATATAAAAATATAAAGAATACAAATTTATTTAAAAAGTAAATATTAATTAATAATAGTATGCCATAGTTTTACTACTAAAACACACACATATATTCTGAGTCAAAATT